ACTCACCTCCACCCCCAGATTCATACCCTTTCCACCCGATTGATACCCTTCTATACCCGCTCCCCGGTGTCTACCTTCCTGCCCTATCTTTTGCACTTGCCACTTCACCCTAATAACGTAAATGCTTTAAGTCTCTTGAAAGCTTTGTCCCACTTTTTCTAAATTATTATACACAACACAAGCCACGTGGTTTCTTGTGTGTGAAAATACACATATGTAGAAAAGTAATAAAGATTATCCTGATGCATGTTTTATACAGACTTAAAATTTAGGAATTTTGATCGTTTTGTAAAACTAAGACAAGGAAGTAAAGCCATAAATAGATTGAATAAAATCTGTGATACGTCATTTGTTTGGTGAGTTAATTTAAGTTGTTTTAGTGGTTGTAGAACTGACTTTTTCATTGATATTGACACAGTGCTAATTTTGTTCATGATCAAGTTAAAATGTTTTCTAGTGTATTGAATTGCATACCCAATTCAATATTATCCTAACTTTTAATCTCAGTTGTAAAGAAAAAATTTAAACTATTTAAGCTGCTGGTGCACTTGATAAACATGCTTAGATTGAGGGGAAAAGATTCCTAGAACAGAAACAGCTTATCAAAATTGGCAATCGCCACACAAACTTCTATTCCCCCATAAGATTGTTGTGCACTGATTATTTGGATCAGTCAGTCCAGAATGGATTCTTCTTCATCGTTTGAAACTTTCAGTATTACAAACCATTGGTCAAGAATCAACGACAAAAAGATAACCACACTCTTCCCTATTCCAAAAGCGACGCTGGAGAGCGAAAGAAATCGACACACTCGTAATTCCTCAAATGATCCGAGCAAGTGAAACCTTTGTGAGAAGGAGGGGGAGGAGACGTGGAAGAAACTGTAGCTTGGCTGCGAATGGCAGTTTGGGGAAGAGAAGCGGCGATAGCAGGAGAGCCCAACGTCGGAAGGAGTCAGTCAGGGGCGGCAGCTGTCCATGAAAGGGATGATGCGCCCGTGTAGACTTTTCTTCTCCGCCTCCTCGTTCTCGTCCTCGTCCTCCTTCATCTTCTTCGTCGTTGTCGTCTTCTTCGATTGCCCAGGGAGGGTGGGAGGAAAGTGCCACACCAGGCACCACCGACAGACACTCAGAAGAGATGCCACAATCAAACCTCTTCTCCAAAGCGCCTGCCCTAAACAATCCTCGGAGGGGCGAGCGCGGCCATGCCTTTCTCCCCTTTCCGAACTCCCTGCCCCGGCTTTCAGAATTCCGGACTCGCATGGAGCCAGGGCAGAAAGCCACGGAAACAAGGGATTTTGCTTCCTCCTCCTCCTCTGAAACAAAGGGGGAACCTTGGCCGCCTTGGAGGCAGCTCCCATGGGGGCTGTTTTGAAACGGGTAGGAGAGGAGTATGAAGTAGCAGAAGAAGAACAATAACATTAATTTGTGGTCACATGTCCCAAATGTTTGAAGGCAAGGCAAAGCGAAGTAAAGCAAAAAGCAAAGACATGGTCTCCTGTGGGTGGGTGAAATAAAGGCCTGTAGAACTTCAAAGACATTCTGTTTTTGGTGTGGAGATTGGCCAACTCCACTTGCCCAACAGTGGGACTGAATCAATAACCTTCCATTTTTACTTTCAATTAAATCACTATGAAAGTTGTTAATATAGAAATAAGGAACATGGGGACACAAATCTTGTGCCACCCAATGAAAACATAGACAAACCATAATTGTAGGACTAAATAGGAATGTTATGCAAGCTTGCTCTAATATGAAATTGACTGATTGAACAAGCTTCAATAGGTATTGAGGTGTATTTTATTGGTGTTGACCTGCATATTCCTTGTGAATGTTCTCATTTAGAATATTTCCATGTTTTGTGGCCCAGTTACTTCACTCTCAAGCCTCTATCCACCTTTAGTGAGATCTTAACTCTATACATAATATTAGATCAATCTTGGTTGGTAATTTCAAGCTTCTATATACCTTTAGTGAGATCTTAACTCTATACATAATATTAAATCAATCTTGGTTGGTCATACTTGATTAGTTGAGACAAGAATCAAGACAAACCAATTCTTTAGTCGAGATGCCAAGTAATTGCATGCATGGAAATACACACAAACTCAAGTCTATAAATGGAAGAGAAAAATCATGTCAACATACATTGCTTTGATGGCTTCTAAGAAAATCTTAAGTTAATATATTTGAAACTCTTTGAAAGAATCTTAGTCATCTGATGAAAGACTAGCATAGAAAATCTAATAGCTTAGCACAACAAATGGTGAGCAAAGAGACAACATCAAACTATCAAAGAGCCACACTAATCTATTATTGGACTTCAGTCAATAATAATTAGTGGAGATACTTTATGTAGCCAACTTATCATCAACATTGTAATACAAAGATTGCATTAATGAAGGTTGAAGCTCTACATTGTCTTTGAATCAAGTAGGCATAATATAAGATTCTACATTCAACTATATCATATGTATATGAAACACTAAGCTGACTTTTGTTATACCTTGCAACATCATCCAATCAAAAGCAAGGATTTTTTTTCTTATTGATATCCACACCTTAATTGAAATGTCAATATTTTATCAGCTCGGCACTAAAAATCAGTCATTTGAGAAAAACACAATTCCCTACTTACTCAACATTATATTGTGTTATGACTTATACAAATTTTATAAGAACCATGTTTTTTACAAGAGGCATTGAATAGCAATCTCTCATGTTAAGAAGTGGATATCTTTAAGCAATTTTGTCATTTGATCCAACAACTTTTAAGTCATTCCAAATATGGCTGATTTACTATTCTTTAATAACTGTGACATTAGACACAACAAGTATAGTGCATTTAAACTATATTATGTGCTTTGATTCTTTTGAAAAGAATAGTTACAACATTACATAATGGCATGGTAACACACAAAGGAAGGATTTTCAGAGTGAGATTTGATACTATTCAAGAAGACATACTAACTTATAGAGATTTAATTCCCATAAAACTATTAGAATATACAATCAATCAAACTAGTGCTTCAAATCCTCTAATAAGATAAACATTCTATTTACCATGTTATTATTTCCTTTTAAGGTCAAAAAACTTGTAGTATCCAAAATACTTGTAGATACTATAATTTTTTTTTATTAATGGTCTATTTTGCCACCAAAGGATTTGTCATAACTATGACTATAGAAGTTATTTATTCTTCCACTCAATCAATATCAATGCCATAAGAACCAGAGACACAATTACCTACTTCAATTGAACCACTTTTGGTGTCATGTGAAGAATTCATATTTATAACCTCACAACAACTAACTGAACTTCTCTTCCAAGAACAAATCTTACATAAACTATAGTTCATTATGGTAGCAATTAACAACTTATTGATCCCCTAAGCATCTTAAGTCCTCACGTCTATATTACAAATTTCACTTGCCATAACAAAACCTATTTTTTTTAATCTCACATCGACTTCAAAAAATTACCAACATTATCATTTGATTAATTTTTCTTAAATGACAACTATCTTGCAATTATTTGTCACATCACTATAATTGTCAATACCTACTATATTCTAAATATATATTACATATTATAGTATAGTACTTCTTTACTAGACAATGCACGTAATATCACGGATATATATATTTACCTCAATAGTTATTTATATGATTAAGTAGAAGTAGATAAATATAGAATAATTTCATAAAGTCTTCTAGATATGCTTCCTAGAAGCTTTATAGACACAATTTTGACTTTAGATGTATTTGTAGGTTAGAAACTTGGCCAAAAAGTTAACCATGTATTGGTAGCTTGTAGAATAAGTTATCTTCGTGTAGTAGCTTGTGGAACAAGCTAATTACATGGCACATACATAGATAACTTGCCTTGCAAGATAAGACATGTGGCTAGCAAAGTCAATACATGTTGGAGGTCCTATAGGACATTGCCACGTAGCTCTTAGTTAGATAGTATATATGGAGGCAAGAGTGAAGCCTTCTTCACTCATGTCAACGCCTTTCTAGTCTTAGTCTTGTTTTAAGGTTTTTTAGTCTTTTTATTTTTGGCAATAGCCATTCTAATTAATATTACATCACCTTTTAAGAGACTTTCTAGTTCTCTTCAGTGATAGAAGAGTATATTGAGGATTCTCTTTCTTCAAGATTCATGTCCTTGACAATTTGACAAGAGTGCTAATATATTGTTTCTGTCTTGTTTTAGAAGTGAGTGGATTATCCTACTTCAATTGTTGTATTTTGAAGGTTGCGGACTATCCACCTTTAAACAAAAAATCTTATTTTTTAACACTGATCTTTTCCTTAAAGAGAGTGGATTACCTCTCTTTGTAAGATTTATTTTTAGACGTTGTGGATTACCCTCCTCTAATTTAACTTTTGAATTCATTTGAGTTGTCAATAGAAGGAAAGATTATGGATGCTTCTCTCAACGGAAGTGAGAATAGATTTGTAACTATGGCAAATCTTCATGAGCTTGTCAATACTCTAAGAGTGGAAATCTCACGTATTTTCAATGTGAATTATGGAAGTACTATGCCTATGCCTATGAAAGAAGTTCAGAGTCTGCAATAAGAAGTTATGCAATTGAAAGAAGCAAGTAGATCAACGTCACAACCAAACCCAGACAGTTTTGCTTCTACAAGTATGACAGGGACAAGGATTAGTATTCCTGAGAAGTTTGATGGAACAAGATCAAAATCTTGAGGATTTTTGCAACAAATCAAGCTCTATCTAAGGCTGCACCCTTTCTAATATCTTGATAGATTTATCCAAGTCGGATTTATAAGCGCACTATTATCAAGAAGTGCTCCCTCTTGGTTTGCATCTTTAATGGAAAAAGATTCACGACTCCTTTATGATTTGAATTCATTCCTAGAAGTGTTTATGGCCACATTCGGAGAAAATGATCGAGAATGAGTAATAGAGACCAAGCTTTTATCTTTATGGCAAGGATCACGATCAGCCATTATATATGCTACCAAATTCCAAAATCTTGCTTGTAACGTGGACTGGAACGACAAAGCACTTATCAACCAATTTTGATATGGATTGAAGGATAGCGTCAAAGATTTCTTATTAACAATGCCAAAAGTAGAATCTTTGGAACAATTTATTACTCAAGCCATTGCATACGATAATTATTTATTTGAAAGGCGTCAAGAACAAAGATTTGGTTAAAGAAGAATAAGTCAAGTAATGGCGACAGCTTTCAAGTTTTCTGAAACGTATTTGTCAAAATCAGAACCAATGCAAATTGATATGATACATTTTTAACTTCTTACAAAGCAGAAAAAGACTCGACGTCACCAAGAAGGATTGTGTTTATATTGTGGAGAAGCTAAGTACAGTGCTCAATATTGTCCAAAGAAGTAACATAATTACAAAATGAAGAGCACAATTACCAAAGAAGATAATATGTTGAAAAATAAGTTTCTCCAGCTACAATACGGACCATGCGGTTGGAATCATGTACAATACCTAATACAAGTCCTATCCTCTCCTCAAATCCCTCACCTTGTTTTATAATAGAAGTATATTTAGGACCTAATAATTATAAAATCTTTGTCTTGTTAGATTCAAGAGCCTCAGCATGTTTTATAGACAAAGTTTTTACCAAAAATCAAAAAATACCTTTAGTGAAGAAAATTAAATCCGTACATGTAGAAGTCATAGATGGTCGTTTGTTGTCTTCGAAAAATGTTACCCATGAAACTATTCCTTTAGATATAGCAATTAAAGATCATAATAGTGTAGTAGTATTTAATGTAATAAAATCTCCCTCTAATCCGATTATTTTAGGATTATCATGGCTAAAAAAATATAATCCTCAAATAGATTAGATTTCTCGTAATCTTAACTTTTTTGATAGTATAATCCAAGATCATATTAGCAAAGTAGAAGTACATAAGTCCAGTACTTTCAAACCTTTACTAGTAGATACAAAAGCTTTCATGGATGCTCCAAAAAAAGGATCATCATTTGCTATATATGCTACACCTATTTCTAATAGTGAAACAATGTTGAGTGGTCTTCTTAAGCAATATCAAGAATTCAAAGATGTTTTTGAAAAGAAAAATATAGATATTCTCTCCAAACATCGACCTTATGATTGTTCAATTGATTTGCAAGAAGGAGCTCAACTACCATTTGGACCAATCTATAGCTTATCGCAGAATGAGTTGGCTACATTAAAAGAGTACATTGATGAGAATTTAGCAAAGTACTTCATACGCCATTCTAAATCTCCAATTAAAGCTCCTATCTTATTTGTGAAGAAGATAGACGGATTCCTATGGATGTGTGTAGATTATCAAGAACTCAATAAGATTACCATAAAAAATAGATA